GATTCCCAAGTAAAACTTGAGGACATCCACAAGAAGAACGTGATTCCTGAGTGTCGATTGCGCGGCGTTAGAATACAAGGCAAGGAAGTCCCGTACGAGAGTGCGATTCCTGTACATATTGTTTTCAATTCAATCGCGAAAGCGCGATTTGGGAATAACTTGTATGGAAGAGGCAGGCGGGAACCGTTGTTGTTGTTGTAATTCGGGTGCCAGCAAAAACTTGTGTGATCCCTCGCTTTCCCTGGTTAGTGACAGGGTGTGAACCCCAAGATGAACTTCTTAAATGAACAAATAAAATGATATTCGGAAAGGGTGTGATCAACAACAACAACTGCTTTTCATGAGTGAGAACAGCAACAGCTACAACAACAATCATTTTATGACTGTTCGCCCTTACCTGCTCGCTGGCCATTCAACGCGTATATCCCAATCCATAGGTGCCCGCCCTCTTCGTCTTCGATCGTGTTCCCCTAGGGATATATTGGTTTTGCCTGCAACGTGTATTTCGTGCAGCTCTTAAGACAGGGGAAAACGGACTGATGGAATGAGGGGACACGGGGCAGGCGGGTTGCTGAAGCGTGCGTCCCGCATGAATCGCGAGGAAGTCTCGATCGATAGCGCGATTTCCAAAGAAGTCGTGAGGAAATCCGTAGCGAGAGCGTGATTCCTGAGTGTCGAGGGCGAGGCGTTTGAATTACTAGCGGGGTGTGGGCCCCGAGGGAAGCATGCCAATTGAAAAGGCTACCGGAAGTCGGTATCAACAATACTCATTTTTAAACTGAGAGTTCAGCTATCACAACAGCAACAACAACAATGACAACAACGACGACATCGACAGCGACAGCGACAACGATAATGACAACGACAGCTACAACACCAATGACAACAGCAACAATCACATCAACAACACTCATTTTCAGGTTGTTCGCTCTTATCTGTTCACGTGCCGATCGATACGTATATCCCAAACCCTCGGCACAGGCCCTCGTCGTCTTCGACCGGGTGTGTCTTCCTCACGTGCCACGTGCATTTGGTGCAGCACCAAAACAAGGGAAGAGAAAACGGGTAGAAGGGGGAGGGAGAAGAATGGAACACGAGAGAAATTCGCAGGTGGAGGGCACGAAGCAACAAACACGTGGTATAACCAGACGGGCAGATCGGGGCGGCAGACCCATAGCGGGCAGTTCGAGAAGGCGGGCCCAGGCGACCAGGTCGAGCAGGCGGGTTGCTGAAGCGTGGGTCCTGCATGAATTGCGAGGAAGTCTGGGGCGATAGCGCGATCCCCAAGTAAATCGGGAGAAATGCCAAAGCGAGAGCGTGATTCCTGAGCGTCGAGGGCGCATCGTCTGAATAAACTGCAGGGAAGTGTCCCACGCGAAAGCGCGACTCGTATACACATTCGGAGGAAGTCCCGCGCGAGAGCGCGATTCGGGAATACATTGTGAGGAAGTATCAGGCTGGAACCGTTGTTGTTGTAAACTGGGGACCAACAACATTGTTGTAACCTGGGGACCAGCAGCACAATTTGAGCCCCGTGACTCCCCTAGCTAAAGAAAACAGGGTGCGAGCTCTGGGGGAAGCATTTCAATTTATAGAAGACAATGGTCACTGGAGGGGGGATCAACAATACTTATTCTTCAGTAGTGAGTTCACTCATTCTAAGACTGTTCGCTCTTACCTGTCCGCGGGCCGTTCAACGCGTATATCCCTAACTCTCAAAACCCGCCTTCTTCGTCTTCGATCGTACCCTGCTGTCAGGGGTGTACAGTTTTCTTTCCTGCAAGGTGTATTTCGTGGAGCCCGTAAGGCAGGGGAGGAGATGACGGATGGAAGGGAGGGACAAGGGCCAGGCGGGTTGCTGAAGCGTGCGTCCTGCATGAATCGCGAGGAAGTCTCGAGCGATGGCGCGATTTCAAAGTAGATCTTGAGGCAATCCGCAGCGAGAGCGTGAATCCTGAGCGTCGAGGGCGCAGCGTGTGAATACATGTGAGGAGGTCCCGCGCGAGAGAGCGAATTCCTCTATACATTGCGAGGGCGCCCCGCGCGAAAACGCAATTTGGGTATGAGTTGTGAGGAAGTATCATTTGGCAACCTTTTTTTGTTGTTGTACACCGGGGGCCAGGACGCAGTTGGATGACCCTTCGTCTTCATTTGAAAACAAAAAAAACACGGTGCGAACTTCGGGAGAAACGCGTCAATTGGAAACATACAGTGGTTACCCGATCGTGGTAACCAACACCACTTATTATTTAGGCATGCAAATTCAACAACAATAGCACCAACAACAACAATCGCTTCAAGTCTGTCCACGCCTACCTGATCTGCTCGCGTGCCATTCTTCAACACGTATGTATTTCCCAAACCCTGGATGCCCGCCCTCTTTGTCTTCGATCGTACCCATTTGGGGTATATTTGCTTTTCTCTGCCACGTGCATGTAGCGCATCCCTTTGACACATGGGAGTAGAGGGCGGACCGAAGGGTGGGGGAGAAAGACGGAACACGAGAGCAATTGGCAGTGGGGGTAGGAACACAAAACGTGTGGCAGAACCAAACGGGCAGATGGGGCGGGCAGGCCGTAGCGGGCGGGTCGGGAAGGCGGGCCCAGGCGGCCAGGTCGAGCAGTCGGGTTGTTGAAGCATGAGTCCTGCATGAATACGAGATTACTAGATGAATCGTGAGAAAGGCCACAGCAGGAGCGTTATGCCTCAGTGCCGAGGGCGCGACGTTTGGATGATTAGCGAGACAGTCCCACGCGAGAGCGCGATTCCTGCATACATTGTGAGGAAGTCCCGCGCGAGTACGATTTTGGAATACATGTACGGAAATATCCGGCGGGAACCGTTGTTGGTGTAGTTTGGGGCCAAACAACGCAATTTGTTGACTCTTCGCTTTCCCTTTGTAAAAACAGTGTGCGAGCCGCAGGAGGAACACTTTAATTGAAGAACACAACTGTTACCGCGCAGAGGGGGATCAACAGTAATGGTTCGTAACACATTGAGTTCGGCAGCGACAGCAATACCACCAACAACACCATCACCAACAACCTCAAATATAGCACCACCACCTCCACCAAAAACAATCATTTTAATACTGTTCGCTCTGATCTGATCGCGTGCCAGTCAACACGTATATCCCGAACCCTCGATACCCGCCGTTTTGGTTTTCGATCGTGTCTTCCTAATGGGGCGTACACACACATTTATGCAGACCCTAGCGGGTGGGCCGGGAAGCGGCCCCAGGCGGCCAGGTCGAGCAGGCGGGTTGCTGAAGCGTGCGTCCTGCATGAATCGCGAAGGAAGCTCGAGTGATAGCGCGGTTCCCACATAAATCGTGAGGAGAACCACATCGAAAGCGTGATTCCTGAATGTCGAGGGCGCGGCGTCAGAATCAATCGGGAGGAAGTCCCGCGCGAGAACGCGAGTTCTGCATCAATTCTGGGGAAGTCCCGCGCGAGAGGCGAGAACCCGACGTGGGAATAATTTGCGAGGAAGGATCCGGTGGGAACCGTTGTTGTTGTAAGCCTGAGGGCCCAGTTTGGGCCCAGTTTGGTGATCCTTCATTTTCCTTCCTACAAAACTGGGTGAGGCCCCGGGAGGAGCGCTGTAAGTAAAAAACGCAACGGTGGTCGTGCAGGGGGGCCAACAGTAGTTCTTTTTTGGAGTTGTAATTCAACAGTAACAAGACCAACAGCACCACCAACAACAATAACACCGACAGCACCAATCATTTTAACATTGTTAGCTCTTGTCTGCTCGCGTGCCACTCAATACGTATATCCCAAACCCTCGATACTCGCCCTCTGCGTCTTCGATCGTGCCCCTTCAGGGGTCTATCTTTATACCTGCAGCGTGTATGTCGTGCATCCCCCAAGGCAGGCGAAGAAAGAAGGAAGGGACAAAGGGGCAGGCGGGTTGCTGAAGCGTGCGTCCTGCACGAATCGCGCGGAAGTCTCGAGCGATAGCGCGATTCCCACATACATCGTGAGGACATCCACAGCGAGAGCGTGATTCTTGAGTGTCGAGGGCGCGGCGTCGGAATACGTTGCAAGGAATTCCCACGCGAACGCGAGATTCCTCTTTACATTGTAAGGACGTCCCGCGCGCGAGCGCGATTTGGAAATACATTGTGAGGAAGTATTTGGTGGGAACCGTTGTTGTTATAACCCAGGGTATAGGGGCCAATGTTGGTGACCCTTCACTTCCTGTATAAAAAAAGGGTAGAGCCCCGGGATAAGCACTTTAATTAAACAAATACAGCGGTTACCGGAGGGGGGATCAACAACAATTGTTATGAAGCAGTGTGAATTCGACCACCAATAAGAACACCACCAACAACCAACAACCAACAACCAACACCATCAACACCAACAACCAGCAACAAACAACAATATCAGCCAACGTTGACTCCAAATAGGTTAGACGACCCAAATCAAGGAATCACTGGAATCAAGCATGCTTGAAATCCGCAACTCAGCAAGCAAGCAAGCGTGCAAGCAAGCAAGCAAGCAAGCATGCAGGCATAGAGATAGGCGTAGGCATAGGAGCTAGGAGGGAGTAGGCATAGGCATAGCCATCGGAATTAGGGGGGGCATATAAATTAGGGGGGGTGGGCAACGCACCAATTGGTAGGGTTTGAACTCGGACTCCTACAGGGCAAGCCTATCTGGATAACAACAGCAACAGCAACATCAACCAACAATAACGACAACAACAACAGCAACAGCAACAGCAAAAGCAACATCATCAGCAACAGCAACAGCAACAGCCACAGCAACAGCAACCGCAACAGCAACAACAACATCAACAACAGTAACATCAGCAGCAGCAGCGACAACAGCATGACTCTGCGCAACGAAATCACAGCCCAGCCACGCACCCAGGCGCAACGAATGATCCTTCGCCCCCCTCACTCTGACTAAAACATTTTCCCCGAGCATGCAGGGGCATGTGTCCAGCCGCCAGCACAGGGCCGACGGCCGCGAGGGCGCGCGCGCGCGCAGGCCAGCATGGGGAGAGAAGGCTCCGTCGCCCGTGCGCGTCCTAGCTCCCCGCGCGTCTCCGTGTTCCCTGCGCGCGCGCCCGCCCCCCGCCCGCCCGCTGGCGTACCCGTCCGCCGGTTGGCTTGCGGCATGGTCCTGGCCTATCTTGGTAGTCCCCAAACGCAGGGCTCGTTTCGATTTCGATGGCTTCCGATTTCGATTCGTTTCGACTTGGGATTCCGATTTGAGTTCCGGTGTCTCATCGGAGGCATACTGACCTGCCGATTTCCGCCGATTCGACTTTTCCCGACTCGGCCGCCGATGTCCGCCGATCCGATTTGTTTCGATCGCCGATCCGACTTATCGATTCGATTCTGGGCTCTCCTGCAAACGTGGTGGTGACAACACCAGGCGGTGAATCTCGGGCGATTTGGTGTCATCACCCGGCTTGGGGGCCCGCTTCGGCGCGACACGCCACCCACTTCCCAGTCCCCCGCCGTCCATGTCCCGAGCCTTTCCCGAGCCTTCCGCCCAGTTGAGCGTAGCGAGACGCTATCCGCTCGCATGGCATAGCGTGTCGCCATGGCCGCCGCGGCGACACGCTAAGCAAAAGTCCCCGTTCGTAGGCTCAGGGGGGGGGTAATTTCGAGGTTCGAAGTTTGAGGTGTTATGACTTTTTCGTCAGTTCTCGGCGGCTTTCCAGCCTCGGGGTGCTCTTCAGCGGCTGTGCCTCGTCGAGAGCGTTCTGGGGGTGCCCCGATCGTCCCGAACGGCCGCCAGAGACGCAAATTATGATTCGAAAGCCAACGGGCAAAGTTAGGGGGATAGGCTCAGGGGCAGTGCATCGAACCCCAATAGTTCACTCATCGCCGACAGGGGCTCGATAGCGACTAAATCTGGGCCACTGGGTGGCGTTCTGACCCTGGACGCCCGCGCTGGAACCGCCGCCGCGTCGACGCGACAGGTTAAATGCTCGTTCTGGGGACCTTCCTTGAGCCACTCGCTCAACTCATGCGCCGATGCTGAATCAGATATCCGTCGACTTGAGTCAAACGTGAATCGAACTAGAGTCGAACTGGAGCGGAACTAGAGCCGTTGTAGAGTCGAACACGTCCAGTCTGTGGGTCCCGGGAAGGTTCCCCAAGTAAGGCGCTGGTTGAGCGTCGCGATCAGTCAAGGCTGGTCGCTCCAGGCAGCGTCAGAAGCCAACGCGCAGGTGGTCACTACACGAAATAGTAGCGCTTCCCCAATTACTTGCCCGTTTGCTTGCGTCCAGCCGCGGTCTTCGAGTGGGGACCTCACGTCGCCGCCGTGGCTGAGATCGTTCCGACATGCTGAATTCGAGATGGTGTCGCGGAGGGGTCCTGGGGCAAATGTCAGTGCGTTGTGGCCAGAAGGAGGAGGGGACCCTTCCCGATACTACCAACATGTGGCAGATGAACACGCTGCTTTCGGTGTGCATACATCGCCGCTGCGTAAGCTAGGACCCGTTTCGTGGCTCCACCAAAACAATACCGAACGAAGGCTCCAATGTTGGGCAGGGCTCATGTGGCCGTTGAGCGCCAGAGCCTGCGAGCAGCAAGACGCATGAACACCGCAACGCTCATGATCATCACGACGGTTGTTAGGCTGGGAAGCTTGTCTCTGTTTTGGGTTGAGACTTTCGTCTGACATGATTCGGCTTTTCCTTTCCAGTTTGTAGCTCCGTCGCGCTCCTGGACTTCTGTTCCATCTCGGAAGAAGGTATATTAAAAAGGCTAGCGGAAGTAAGTGCGAGACATCGCCGTATTCGTTGTCGGTTTCGCCCGTGTCGCTGTTCAGCACGGTGAATTGCATTGTTATTTACATGACTCCGGGAAAGCACACACGCACATCGTGAATAGACAGAAAGTTTTTGCATCATTGGGTGAATTCGTTTTTGTCCTTGTTACGTGACGCGTACCGGGTCATGCTCTTGATTCAGCGGTGCTTGAGCCCAACAATGCCTCAGCAACACCGTGACTACGAGCACCGGGGCGCCTGTGGACACTGCGTCGACTATGAACTTATTTTCATATTAGCAGCACCAAAACGCAGAGCTTGAAATAATCAATCAGCGCTGTACTGGTGTTCTCCAGTTCAAGCTCAACCTGATGCATCCTTCCATCCCTCGTCCATCCTGCCTCCCACCTCCACTCTCCAACAATCCTTCCATCCCTGCATCTCTCATCCGTTTACCCGTCCTCACTCCATTTATTTTTCCAGTACTCTGGATCTCTCGTATTTCCATCCCTCATCCACCCTTCTCTCGATCCCTTTACCCATCCATGCCATCTCCCTCCCTCACTCCCTCCTTCCCCCTCCCCCCTCGCTCCTCTTCCAATCCCTCCAGCCATTGACTCATCCCTCCAATCTCTTCCTTTCCTTCGTCCGTTATCCTTCGTTCCTCATTTTTTCATCTGTCATCCTCCCATCCTCCTCCCTCGCTCCACCTTCTTACCATAACTTCTGCGTCCTCACTGCTCCTTCATCTCCCCATCCCTCAACCCATTTTCCTGCCTCTTTCAATCCCTCCACCCATTTGTCTTTGCTCTCCCCTCTTCGTCTTTCCCTTTCGTCATCAATTTCTCTACCCACCCATCCCTCCTCGCCCATCCCTTGTTCCTCCTTCCTCCACCCGTCTGTCCCCCCACTCCGCCAACCATTACTCGTTCAGCTGGCACTCCTCCTCCTCCACCACCTTTTCCTCGTCCTCTTTCCTCCTCGATTTCCTGCTCTTCTTCCTTGGAAGCATTCGCGAAGACATATGTGGTTCAGTCCTGGACTGCACGCTGCGACAGCGACACTTCCATGATCAAGGCAATTTGCCTGGGTACGCGAAGCGTCGCGCATGTCAGGCTGGGATCACATTGTGCCACGGACGGCCCGCATGTCCACGGGGCGGCCAATTGAATGAAACGCCCGGCTCGCCCTACCGACACGCCTGGTGGTGTGGCGAGGAAGCGCTACTCGAGTGGGTTATGCCATGCCGCTGACGCCCAGAGCGAGTCAGAACTTGCGAAGATCGTGGAGGTTATTGAAGACGGCTACAGCGAATCACCGCCGCCCCCTGCCTTTTGGGATCGCCCATGTGGCCGAAAGTTGTGGCCATAGCTCTGCTAAGCTATCCGACCATCTGTTCCCCCAGCCGTTGTGGAAACCCTTCGGGGAACACGCGGGGGAGAAAGAAGAAGCAGAGGAGGGAGACGACACAAGGAGAGGATGATGATGATGCTGATGAAGATCATGATGATGATGATGATGATGATGATGATGATGATGATGATGATGATGATGATGATGATGACGACGACGACGACGACGACGACGATGATGATGATGATGATGATGATGATGATGATGATGATGATGATGATGCTGATGCTGGTGCTGATGCTGATGATGATGCTGATGCTGCTGCTGATGATGATGAGGATGATACTGATGGTGATGATGATGACGGTGATGATGATGATGAGGAGGAGGAGGAGGAGTAGGAGGAAGAGGAGGAAGGGGAGGAGGAAGAGGAGGAGGAGGATGAAGACTCTTGAGGCCTCAGGGGAGCTTCTTGTTGGCCTCTCGGCCCCCAGTCATTTGTAATCGCCCACGTGGCCGAACGTTGTGGCCAGAGCTCTGCCAAGCGATCCGACCATGTGTTCCAGCAGCCGTTGTGGAAACCTTTCGGGGAACACGCGGGGGAGACATAATAGTAATAACAAGAAGAAGCGGAGAAGAGGGGAGACAAATGGAGAGGAGGAAGAGGAGGAGGAGGAGGAGGAGGAAGAGGAGGAGGAGGAGCAGGAGGAGGAGGAATAGGAGGAGGAGGAGGAGGAAGAGGAAGGAGGAGGAGGAGGAGGAGGAGGAGGACTCTTGGGGCTTTCTGGGAGCTTATTGTGAACCTCTCGGAGGCCTCTTGATGCCTCCTTGGGCCTCTTGGGGGCCTTCGGGGGCTTCTTGGGGGCCTTTTTTGGCCGTCTTAGGACTTTCCTGGCCCGTCTGACGCCGTCGGAAGCCGTCTTGGGGGCCTCTCTGGACCGACTTGCGGCCCTCTTGAGTCGCTTCAGGGCCGTCTCGGAGGCTACCATGGACGTCTTGGGGGCCTCTTGGGCCGTCTTGGGGCCCTCTTGGGACCGTCTTGGAGGCTTCTTGGGTCGTCATAGGGGTCTTCTTGGAGGCCTATGGGGCCATCTTGAGGCGATCTTGGGGCCCTCTTGGGCCGTCTTGGGCCGTCGGAAGGCCGAACACAAGCAAAGGGCAACATGCTTCAGCAACCCAAATGCATTCAAGGGTTCTGGCCTCTTCGGGCCCTCCTGGAGGACCTCTTTGAGATTTCTTGAGCCGTCTTGATGCCATCTTGGGCCGTTTTGGGTGCATGTGGGAGCTATCTAGGGCTCTCTTGGCGCTATCTTGGCCGTCTTGGAGGCATCTTGGAGGCCATCTTGGGCCATCTCGCCCGTCTGGGAGGCATCTTGGAATCCATTTTGGGCCATCTTGCGCGAGAACGGCATTGACATGTACATTTTCTGGGTGGCTGGCGCGCTGCGCCGAAGCCCCATGGGGTGTCCTTTTGGAAGAAAAAGCCCAAACCAAGCCGAGCATAGGATTAGCACGCCAGGCACCCCAGTGGCAAGCCAACAGGGGGCGGCGGATGACGGAAAGAGCGAGGTACGAGCGAGAGACGTTGCGGTTGGGGCGAAGTCCTTATATGGAGGGGGTCCGGGGTAGGGGGCAAGCCCGGACGAGATGGTCTAAGTGCCCTCGCGCCTCGTATTTCTTTTGAGTGAAGCTGTTCGCGGGCGCCTCCCACGGCCCGTTTCCTAGTATTTTTTCGAGTGAAGCGGCTCAAGGGCCCCAAGACGGCCCAAGAGGGTGCGCACCAAAACGACCCAAAGTCGGTCCCAAGAGAGCTTCGGATGGCCTCCAGACGGTTCAAGGGAGCCTCGAGACGGCTCCAGAGACCCTCCAGAGGGCCTCGGGAGCCCCAAAACATTGAATTTCTTGAAGGTTTTTGAAGGCTCAGACGGGCCCAACACGGCCCATGAGGTCCCAAAGCTCGTCCCAAGACGGCCCCCAAAGGGGCCGAAAAAGATCCAAGAGGGCCCCAAGAGGGTCCCAGAGGGGCCCAAAACTATCCAAAATGGCTCCAAGACTGCCCAAGAGGGCCCCAAGACAGCCCCAAGAGGGCCCAAAGATGCTCCCAAGAGGCCCTCCAAAGGGGCTCCCCAAGACGGCCAAAGTCCTCGAATATGCCCCCAAACGGCCCAAAACGGCCCCAAGACAGCTCAAAACGCCCCAAGACGGCCCAAAA